AACCCAAAGAGCAGGACTGAGTTGGTCACGCTGCTGGACGCCCTCCTAACTTGTACTATGGGAGTTTATGTGTGACGCACACCGGGCCCAGGGAAGGCAGAGTGGCAACCTCTCCCCAGTCTCCCTGGAGCCTGACCTCAGAAAGAATGGAGCCCCAACGCAAGTGGAGGCCCAGCCCCCCAGGCCCTTGCAGCCGGGGGTCTTTCCAGACAAGACAGGCTGGAGCCGCGGCAGAGACCACACTTGGCACGTGGCCCCCAGCGCCGTTCTGCCCCATTGCCTCATGGCGAAATGAAAATAATAATAATTCCTAAGACTTTCAGATTCTGGCCCCAAAGTACTTTTCCAGGAACGTACTCTGAAAGAATGCCATAGAAAATATGGTTCCTGTGACACTAGACTTCAGACATCCTAGTGATTTAGGGGGCGAGATCGCTGAGGGGCTTCTGGAAGAATTTTTTTTGTTTCTGACATTTCAGAAGAAAAAACACACCTTTGAGCTGAGCCCGTTCCATCAGCATTCAAAAGTTCACGTGAGCGTTGCTTGGCCAGCGCTTGTTACAAGTATAAAGGAAGTATTGGCTGTGAGGGTCTGTCTGGCTCTCTGCAGTCGCTCCCCTCCTAAGGGGAAGTCGGATCTCAAGGTGGTGTCTAAAGTACAAAGTCTTGTAAGATTTCTGTAAAGCACAGAAGAAAATATTCCAGCACAATCCATGTGTGTGAGTGAATCACAAAGCATTTCTTGGGGTATATGAGATGGCTCCAGGATGCGTGTACAGACTCTAGGTAGAGTGTAGATTCACCCAAACATGCCCCCATGCATGGAGCAGTTATTGAGTGCCCACTGTGTGCCTGGTACATGCTAGGCCCAGGGAAGGAGAGAGGAAGGGTGGAGGCTGTGCCCTGCAGCCGCTTGTCCATTCAGTGGAGACTCACACAGTTGCCTGGACAGGGGCCATGTGGAGTGAGCGCCCAGAGGGACACAGCGGGTGCAGGGCCACACTTTCATCCTGACACCGGCCGGCACTCAGTGACACTTGAGTTCTCAGATGAGAAGAGTTTTGCCTTGTCTGAGGGAGGAATTAAAGCTGCTCTTTTCTCACAAATTGACCACGAAGCTACAAAATGTAGGAGGAAGAACTGGCACCTCAGCCTCCCTGAACACAGCAGCAGTTCTGAAAATTCAATTCAAAAACCCCCGTCAGCTGGCAGGGTTTCCCACGGCTGTTGATCTAAATTCTCATTCCTACCCACACATCCGTTGCAGCAAAATGTTGAAGAGAATGATACCTTTAGCATTGCCCTCATCCTTCCCTGGGAAACAACATTAAACAATGAAGAAAAATACTTAATTCTCTCAAGAAAATAGCAAATATTCCTTGTGTTGTAGATGGTGGCCATACCTCCTCTTCCCCACATCCAGCCACACAGGGAGCAGTTGGGTCCCAGTCAGTGGGCGCGTCGCTGGGAAGCCAGCTCTAGGCCCGCTGACGCCTCATCGAAGACCTGCCACAGCCGCATGACAGTGATACTGTATCTTATGGGTAAGGAGACAGGACGATGGGCTAGGTTAATACTTTGCCTTTGTAATCTATTAATCTTCCACCTTTGGGACATGATTTTAAATCCACTTCAGAGCAAAGTGACTGAAAATCATTCTGGTCTGACAGCTTTAAAAGATCACAAGTGAAATGTGTTAAGAAGATCTCAACCCGCTGGTGCTACACCAATGGCTTCTGGAAGTTTCCCTCACCCTGGCAATGGTTCTACATCCTCCCATTGGGAGTCTGAAGCAGACAATCATGCACCGACAAGAAAATGTTCCTTTTAGACAGGGTTAACGGGAGGAGCGCCTATTTTGTCAGAATAATCTGGGTCCTGTGTGCTCATCACTGTGGGTGTAAAGATGCTCAGAGTTCCCGGGAACATTTGCTTCCTCCTTCCCCAGGTGATTTCTGCTGTCACATGATGCAGTTGGCAGGGGACGGGGGAGGGGGGTACAGGTCTCCCTTTGTGGACAGAGTCATGCTGTGTGACAACATGTAAAACATTTTTTAAAGCTTAAATTTTGATGACACAGAAGCAAAGTGTGTCTGCATTTTTTTTAAAGATTTTTTAATTGTTTTTTCTAGAGAGAGAGGGAGAGGGAGAGAGAAAGAGAAACACCAATGTGTGAGTGAAACATCAATCAGCTGCTTCCTTCCTGGATTTCGGCTGATTTACCGAGGATCAAACTGAAACCCATGCATGTGCCCTGACTAGGAATGGAACCAGCAACCTTTTGGTGTATGGGATAATGCCCAACCCACTGAGCAACACAGGCCAGAGCTGAGTCTGTATATATATATATATATATATATATATATATATATATATATCTCAGAAAGGAAGGGAGAGGGAGAGAGAGATAGAAACATCAATGATGAGAGAGAATCATTGATCAGCTGCCTCCTGCACACCCCTCACTGAGGATCGAGCCCACAACCCTGGCATGTGCCCTGACCAAGAATCAAACTGTGACCTCCTGGTTCATAGGTCGATGCTCAACCACTGAGCCACGCCAGCTGGGCAGCGTCTGCATTTTTAAAACAAAAGATTGGGCCCTGCTTCCCTGTTCATCCCTGTGTTCAACAGCTTCAGACGTCCCCGCGGCCATGGATGATGTCCCTGAACAAGTTCTGCAGCCTACTCCTCCACTGTTGGAGATACACCAGGTGGTCCCCACACCACAGACATCTCCAGCCAGCCCTTAGCCAGCATGGGGGCGGGGGGATCCGTGAATAAATACTCCAGCTTGCTCACCTGCTGTGGGCTCCCTGAGGCATGTCCCGAGGAGAACCAATCTTCTATACCTGACCAGGCCTCCTGGGTCACACCCCAGACAAACTCCCCACCCTAAACCCTTCCCTCAAGCTGCTTTGGGGAAGCCCAGTATAAAAGATTTTAAAGCATGGATGAGACATTGTGGAACTTTTATTAAAATGCCTCTTGGAAAAAAACCAAAAGGGTTAGTATGACAGTGTAGATGGAGAGTGGGGATGATGTGGGGTCTTCCACTGAGGAATTCAGGGGATGCCCAGGGGGAGAGGGGTCAGAGCAGAGTAGAGATACAGAGAAAATGGCCATTTTGTGACACTTAAAAAATTATGATGATGATAAAGAGAAAACATGAGAAATGCAATTACTGCAGTAGTCAAGATTACGTGACCTTATTAATAATAAGAAGAAAGAAGTTTGGATTAGGCCAAATTTAGGACATGGAGCCCTTCTATGATATCTGCACACTTTGATTCATGAGTTTATGTGGATTTGCACACGTGAGTGACACACCTTTTCTTCCATCCAGTCGCCCTGCGTGTTAAGAAAAACAATTGCTGTTTTCCCTTCTCTCTGGATGTATTCCTAATTAGTTTTCTTTTTTTTAATTAGAAGACACTCTCTCAACCTTCGCATCATCCCCCAACTTAATGAGCTCCTCCAGATGTTGAATGAGAAACAAAAAACCACAGGGGAAAAAAAAACAAACAAAACAGCTGGACATTAAATACAGCGAGAATTACCAGCAGCTTATTTTGGAAACCAGGCCACATTCTCACATATTCTAAGTAACCACTGGTGTGACATTCTCCCCCTAGAAGTGATCAGCAAGTGGCGCGGGCACGTGGCGAAGACGCGCTCCTCGTCCTGCGGCAGCTGTCCCAGCGTGTGTGAGACCTGCCTGCAAGGCTCTGCTGATGATGTCGCCCAGATTTCTCACTTTCCATCACAAACACTGACCTCCTCCACCCGGCATAGAGGAATTTGACATATTTTTTTCGTAGAAAACCAACTCTTTCGGGTGACAAGGGGGGCTAGCATGTGTGGTCACTACTAATGACCGGCTTGCATTGTTATGGAAGCCTGGAGTGAAGAGCCCCTGCAGGACAGGGCACCCTGAATCCACACTGCAGCTGCAGCAGCTTCCCGAGGGTGCTCAATGAATGGTGAGTGACTCTGTGAGCCCGGGACCCGCACCCTTCCTCCCTCTCAGATGGAGACCAGCTGGGATCCACAGCGGAAACCCAGTGCCTCTAAGGCCTTTGTCATTGGTCACACAGGGTTTTCTTTATCAGGGGACCCACTCATCCAAGAAGATGAGGAATGATCTGGTGGTCACTGTTAGTATCACCTCCTCAGAGCCTGGGACATTGCAGTGTGCACATGGGATAGTACAACAGGTGGACACACCATGGCCAAGAAGCTAGGCCACTGGCAAACTCCATTATTCATGAGATAAAACCAAAGATATGTTTCCATAGTTTTCATAAGTGTGTAACAAATATGTATAAATAAACATGTAAAAATAAGTAAATATATATCAATATATTCAAGTTTGGCTAAGTTCATAGCTATAAATGAACTCATCCATTACAAAAAAAATTGGAAAAAAAGTAAAATCACCTATGTGATTTGACTAGCTCTTAAATTTAATCTCATGGCACACATAAACTAATTACTAAAATTCTTTGACATACAACACAATATGTTATATTTTTTGCCAATGTGACAAAAAAAATAGGTATAGTTTTGATTCATTAACACCAGACAGCTATTGTTGCATTGACTGTTGTCATTTTTTATTTGGCAATCTAAGGGAAAAGAGGTCAGTGCCTCTAAACAGTCAGGCACTGCATGTTTTAAAATTCTCGAGGCACACCTGTTGCAAGTCATTGGCTTAGATCTTCCACTTCAGTGTCTTTTCTATATATGTACATGTTTCATTCCTTTTACTCACTCTTATTACAAAATTATATGTTAGGCCTTTGGCCAATTATTTTTGACCTTAAAAAAATGTCTTTGATGTTTGCTATCTTTTGCTATCTGATTTATTTTTAGTTTATCTTCTCTGGGAATCTTCAAGATATATTTATCCTGCCTTTAATTCTTCACATGACTACTTTAAGTTTAGAAATTGCTTAGTTTATATTTTTATTATTAAAGTCAAAATTAAAATCATTTTATCTCTTCACAAAAGATAAAATTTTTATTTTTAGAAACAAAGGAACCTTATTTACAGTCATGAGAGTGTCCCCCAGGAGTACACAAAATACACATAATGGGTACACATACAAGTGAACCTTTGAAGTCAATTCCTTGCCATGTTCCTGGGTGGCAGTGCCCTCATTGCCCTCTCGGCACCATCATCACTGCGACTTTGCCCCCAAGCCCAGCTGCACCACCTTGTGGGCCAGACTGTTGCAGGCTGCTTCATAGCGGGCTTGAGTGACGGGCTTCCCTTCCTGGCTCTGGATCTTCTCATCCTCTAGGCAGACAAGATGAAGTTCACAGTTTCTTCTGGGGTAAGACCTTGAAGAGATAAAATTTTAGTCCATTTTTACCATCTCCCAATATCCCAGCTTTTCCTGATGAAACTTGAGAGCCAAGACACACACCACCCTCCTTTGAGGAACCAGGTTCTCCATCTTGCTCCCATTGGCCACCACCTCTTCTGCAGCATTTTGCATTTACTCAATGTCACTTTCCAATGCCCTCTGCTGAGTCTTGGCCTGTCCTCCCCATTCCTGTTTGCTTCAACACCTACTCTTCCTAGGCACCCTAATATCAAAATGTTCTGTTTTTCAAAAAAGTAACATGCTGTGTGAACCGTGTGATCCAGGTGGCATGCCTGTGTCAATGAGAAGTTTTTGGCTATAGTAACAAAGGCCCTACACCAAGCATGTCAAATTCTCAGCCCGCGGCCAGCCCACAAGGAATATTTTTGCAGCCCAGCCAATATAACGGTAGGTAAGAAACGTTTTAATACAAATTTCGTAACTTGATTTTTACAATATTCTACTACAATGTTTGCTAACGGCTGATTACTATAATCGTATTGCATTCATTTCCCTTATGCGCCTTACACGCAGACACACCAATTCTCTCCACTAATACTACCAGTGAATATTTTAGCAGCCAATTGCCACATCATTACTCTTGGACTGACTTGTTTGGTGTGCACAACAGGAAATATTTCGCTTTTGGAGAACAAGAAAAATAGGTTTATTTGTATTATGCTTATTAATTTGTGCAGTTATTCAGTGTCTAGTAAGTTAATGTTCAAGAAAAAATATTAATTTTTATTAAAATGTTCTATTATTTTATGTTAACGATTACTCATTTATTTAAGCCATTTGTATTCAGCATGTCTCTATTGAAATAAACCTACGTTTCTATGAAAATTTAAGCTTTTGGTTTTTTGCTGCCCACATAAACTTAAACCGTGTTCATTTGACCCATGTTAGCCTTTGAGTTTGACATGCTTGCCCTACACCAACAGGCTGGAACAAGGGGGACCAACTAGCTGTGCACTGAGGTCTGATCTGCCTCTTGTGTTAAGACAGTGGTTCTCAACCTTCCTAATGTCGTGACCCTTTAATACAGTTCCTCATGTTGTAGTGACCCCCAATTTCATTGTTACAAATTGAACATAATTAAAGCATAGTGATTCATCACAAAAACAATATGTAATTATATATGTGTTTTCCGATGGTCTTAGGCGACCCCTGTGAAAGGGTCGTTCGACCCCCAAAGGGGTCGCAACCCACAGGTTGAGAACCGCTGTTAAGACATGGAGCATTAGTGTTGTCCCAGGCTGGAAGCCCTCATGGTCACAATGGGGTGGCCAGTGTCCCACAGCACTGCAAGCTTCCTCCCTAGTCCTGCCCTCTGGATGGAAAATGGCTCTGTGCCACAATCAGAATGTTTTCCCAGCAGCCTGCACAAATCTCTCCTAAGGTCTCACTGTCTGAATTGGGTCAACTCTCATGCCTCTTAGGGGTCAGGCACGGAATGGAGTTAGTCCTACAAAAGTCAGGCCTCCTGCCCGCTGGGCAAGCAGCCAGCCCTCTGAGCCTCATGGCCATACAGGGGAGGCACAAGGGGCCACCTGAAAACTCTGGAAAGGGGGAATAGGGAACACAGGCACTCTCCATGACAATAGTTTTCCGTTGACTTCCTGCATAAGCAACCCATTGGGTATAAGATGTTAGAATTAGAGTGTATTTTCCTCAGTCTGTGACATTGGGAGAGGCCTTATATCTGTTTCCTTTATAGAACACTAACTTTTGCTGCATCTCAATAATAAAACTGGAAGCATTATTTCTGCCTGAAAAATCCTAAGCACTTAAAATCTGTGGGTTTTTTTTTTTCAAGAAAAAAACAGTTTTCTTTAATTTTATGTCTAATTATGCTTCTCTTTTATTTGCTTGAACTTTTTCTATAAGGACATTTATAATTATTAGTCTAGATTCTGTTTCTTGACCTCTCAATCCACTTATATCATCATTTACTGACAAAGAATAAAACAATTAGCTTCATTTAACCTGCACATTTAAAAACGTGTATCCTTATGAAGTCAGTCAATACCAAAAGCTAAACAGATGAACACACTCCATTACCAGGGCAAAAGTAGTCTTACTATTTTATCATGTACTTTTGCTCTTTGTTCTATGTGATCATCAATTCATGTGTTAAAACCATCATAAAATATTTCTTGACAACATATTATGCTGGCCCTAGACCAGTGATGGCGAACCTTTTGAGCTTGTCCTGTCAGCATTTTGAAAAACCCTAACTTAACTCTGGTGCCGTGTCATATATAGAAATTTTTTGATATTTGAAACCATAGTAAAACAAAGATTTATATTTTTGATATTTATTTTATATATTTAAATGCCATTTAACAAAGAAAAATCAACTAAAAAAATGAGTTTGCGTGTCACCTCTGACACGTGTGTCATAGGTTCGCCATCACTGCCCTAGATGATATTCTGCTAAGGGTATACAGAGTACAGTGCTTAAAAGTACTCAAAATGGTTATTTTTTCTTCTGTACTTATATTAGTTTGTTATACAATTGACCCTTGAATAATGCTGGGATTAAGAGCACCGACTACTCTGGCAGTTAAAAATCCACATATAAATTAAGTTGGCCCTTGATTCCCAACTGTAAATTGAAAATAAACATTTGTTCCTGTTTATGTTCAGTTTTAGGGTTGCCCTTTATATTTAAAAAATATGTGATTATATTTTTGACCACGTAAAACATTTTCTTCTTGCAAAAACCCTCATTCTATGCAGAGTTCTCTCTTCCTTTCCATCCCCTCTCCCATCCCCACTCATCTCCTGAGTGACTGTCTCATCATTGGTACTTCATATAGTTTAGCTAGAGAGTGCCCAATCCCCTCCATAGTGTAATAGTTCTCTTACTACAAATGGCATTAAATATATATCCATGTTTTAAGAAGAAATTTGCATGTTTTTTCAATAAAGTGTCTTTTCTTGATGTTTGCACATTTTTCCATTGAGTGTTTCACTCTTTTGTTCCTTGATTGCTTAAAACATATTATCAATTAGGGTTTTTATTAGTACCACGCTAAAATGAGGGTTTGGAGCCCTTACAGGAGGGTAAGAGCTGTTAGTACTTTCCTCAGTGTGCCATTGTTTTTCATCATACTGTTCTCGGGTGGGAGGAGGGAGGCAAACATTTATATACTGTTGACTTCATTAAATTTTCTTCATTTAATCTTTATTTGAGTTCTAGTTGGAAGGTTTTCACTACTCAGGTTTAAAAAAATGCCCATGTGTTCTTCTAATAAGCTTGTGGTGTCATTTTAATTTTTTATAGTTCTCTGACCATTTGTACTTTATTCTGTTGTCTGGAGTGAGATATGGGTCCACCAATTTTGTCATTTTTTAAATTCCTATTTAGTTCCCTTGATGTTATTTATTTTTGCCTTGATAATATGAGATGCCACCTTTATCAGAAACAAAAGTCCCTTGTTTTCTTGATCTGTTTCCTCCTCTGTCCCCCTGGCCCATTTGTCTAGCCATGCTCTAGAACCATATCTGGTAGGCCTGGCAATCCCCATCCTTCTTACTCATCTTTTATAGAGATTTTCTAGAAATTCTTGCACAATTACTTGTCCACAAAAATTTAGAATTAATTGCACTGCTATGACAAATACTGGCATGTGTATTGGATTGGTGCTCAATTCATATGCTAACTCACATGGAATTAAGTCTTCCTATCCAAGATCAAGGGACACCTTCCCATTGGGTCAAGTCTACCACATAGGCTTTTTAAAATATTTGAAAGTTTCTCCACATAGAGTTTGCAATTGCTTATCAAGTTTATGCATAAGAATTTCACATCCTTAGTTGCCATTTTAACTGAGACTTTCTCTTTTCTTATGTCTAAGTGGTTGTTACAGGTCCATAGAAAGACTATTGATTTTTGTGTGTGTCACTTTTTTATCCTCCTAAATGTTCCCAAGGCAATTTTTAATTATTTAAATAGCTTACTCGTATCTCAAGGTCATGTTGATGAATGGAGATCTCTTTAGAGGCAGTAGATACACACAGACACAGACACCAAATACCAAAACAATCTCTACAACTTACACTTTAGACTATTAGTGAGCCAATCCCCCAAGAAATGAAGCAGACTCCTCCCTTCTGAAAAGTAGATTTTATCAGCTGTTTTTTTGAACAGCAAAACAAAGGTAAGAAAATATTATGCCAAGAGTCTCAGCACACCTTCCAGCCCGGCGACTTCCCAGCGATCAGATCCTTGGACTTTCCTCACAGCATGGCCCCCAAACGCCAGTCCTCACTCCCACCTCAAACGAAGAAACTGACTCCAGCCCCCAAGCCAGACCCCTCAAGGCATGCCAAAGGGAGAAAAAGAACAGGAAGAAGCAATTGAACATATAGAAGTACAAAATGAAATGGACAGACTTAATGAACAAGCCAGTGAGGAGATTTTGAAAGTAGAACAGAAATATAACAAACTCTGCCAACCATTTTTTCAGAAGAGGTCAGAATTGATTGCCAAAATCCAAAATTTGGGGGTAACAACATTTGTCAACCATCCACAAGTGTCTGCACGGCTTGGGGAAGAGGATGACGAGGTGCTGAATTATTTGACAAGAGTTGAAGTGACAGAATTTGAAGATATTAAATCAGGTTACAGAATAGATTTTTATTTTGATGAAAATCCTTACTTCGAAAATAAAGTTCTCTCCAAAGAGTTTCATCTGAATGAGAGTGGTGATCCATCTTCAAAGACCACTGAAATCAAAAGGAAATCTGGAAAGGATTTGACAAAACGTTCAAGTCAAACACAGAATAAAGCCAGCAGGAAGAGACAGCATGAAGAACCAGAAAGCTTCTTTACCTGGTTTACTGACCATTCTAATGCAGGTGCAGATGAGTTAGGAGAAGTCATCAAAGATGGCATTTGGCCAATCCATTACAGTACTACTTGGTTCCTGACATGGATGATGAAGAAGGGGAAGGAGAAGAAGATGATGATGATGAAGAAGAAGAGGAAGGATTGAAAGATATTGATGAAGAAGGGGATGAGTATGAAGGTGAAGAAGATGAAGATGCTGATGAGGGGGAAGAAGGAGAGGAAGATGAAGGAGAAGATGACTAATGAACACTGATGGATTCCAACCTTTTTTAATTTTCTCCAGTCCCTGGGAGCAAGTTGCAGTCTTTTTTTCTTTTTCTTCCCCCCACCTTGTGCTCTGTTGCCCTGTTTTTTGAGGTCTCTTTTCTCTCCTTTTACACCATAGTTTTCACCTTATTTGTGGGGGAGAGGGGGATGTACCTTGAGCAGATACAGTGGGAAAAGAATCTTTGCCCCTTTCTGTTCCAAATTCATTTTTATCCCTTCCTGTCTCAAGAAAAACTTATGGAATCAACACCACCGTGCTCTGTGGGAAAAAAGAAAAACCTTCTGCTCCCTTAGCTCTGCTGGGAGCTGGAGGTTGCTAGGCCCCTGTGTAGTAGTGCGTATAATTCTAGCTTTTTTCCTCCTTTCTCTGTATATTGGGCTCAGAGATTATACTGTGTCTCTATGTGAATATGTACAGTTAACATTTACCAACATGTATCTGTCTACTTTCTCTTGTTTAAAAAAAAAAAACTTTAAAAAGGGGGAGTATAGAAGGTCAACAAAGGGGTGGGTTTGAGATGTTTGGGTGGGTTAAGTGGGCATTTTGACAACATGGCTTCTCCTTTGGGATGTTTAATTGGGATGTTTAATTGTGATGTTTAACAGACATCCTTGCAGTCTAAGATGATACTTTTAAAATAAAATCCTCTCCTAATGATGACTTGAGCCCTGCCACTCCCTGGGAGAATCAGTAGAACCTGTAGGATCTTATTTGGAATTGACATTTCTCTATTGTAATTTTGTTCATGTTTATTTTTAAATTTTCTTTTTGTTTCACCGGAAAGGAAAGATAATGCTCAGTTTTAAACGTTAAAAGTGTACAAGTTGCTTTGTTACAATAAAACTAAATGTGTACAAAATAAAAAGAAGATATTATGCCAAAAAAGTAGAAGCACTGGCCTCTCCCATTGTGCGTGTAGAAAATATTTAGAGAAGGCCTGTGCATGGAAGGCAGCGCATTAGTGTATTTAAAATATGCTTTTTCCAAGGTGGCAACTCAGCCAGGGGCCCTCCTCCCTCCACAGGCACTAAAGGACCGATGACAGGAATCACTTGGCAATTGCTCACAGACCCTATTCAAGAGCATGATATTAAAGTTGAGAGTGTACCTCTGCCCTTGGTGTTATTTGCAGATTTAAAATAACAAAGTGCTAAAAATATATATTATAACAAGTTACTCCCTACCATAAATGCATCAAGGCAGCTGGAACTGACTATATTTAAGGTATTAAAATTGAAGTTGATGGTGACCCCACATTATTCATTACATCAAATGGAGATGCCTTTAAATTTATATTAAATTCAATTTAAATGCCATCAAAACCATGGTTGACAAAGTCCTGACAGATGAATATTTTAGTATGATTCAATAGCAGTAAACTTTATTTTCTTACCTTGAGGCAAGGTGATGCCATTTTATATGCAGTAGGGTGAACTGGGTTTGTAGTAACATGGATTATGATTTCCATAAAATGAAATTTTATCTTTAAAATGATTTTAAAGGGTTTAAGTCTTGAACTCTGAAAACATCTCTTCAGGGTGTTTCTTGCTTTGCTCATTACTTTATACTATGAAATCCATTAGCTCCCTTAGACCACTTTTCAAAATATCTTCTGGTTTAGAATTAACAATTAGTCATCTTAAAGGTTTTATGTTTGATGTTGACATTCAGTAATATTTCACTTTGACTTTTCCACTTATAGCTCTTGGTCATAAGGAGGAAAACTGCCTTGCCCAGAAATTCACTTGTCATCGGTGTTGAATGCTTAGGTGTTTAATGAATAAATGAAATGATTAGTTAATTGATTAGTTAGCTAGTCTTTGTAACTGTTTCCAAGAAACAGCCTCCTGTCTGCCCACTAGAATAGTTCTTGACATAATAGTTTACAGGCCACAGCCATTCTCCCTAAAGTGATTATTAGTGAGATACATTGACTCTATATCAATAGAGAGAAATAGCTGACCATCTCTGCACTCATCGAAGCTTGGAGACCTCAGGGAAGGATTTTCTCTTAATATTTGGTTCCTAGAACTGAGAGTCCTGACATCCCAGTCTGTAGCCTTTACTGGAGATTTACAGAGGCTCCCTGGGTGGGATCACATCCTATAAAATACCCTTAATGTACTGGGATTGTCTGTAGCCCAGTGCATTTTTAATTTCTGTGAGTTTGTGTCTAGCTAATGGCCATTTCTCCCTAAACCAAAACAGAGGCAGTGCAGCTTTAGAGTCAGAACAGATGAAATTAAAAGTCAAGAAGCCATTGCTCAGCTTTTAAAAAGCAAACAGCCTTTAAAAAGCAAACAAACAAAACAAAACAAAAGGTACCCACTGGATTTGGGAGCCAGAAGGTCAACTGCAAGAGCCAAGTCTTTGAGAAAGAAAAGGATTTCTTGAACTCCAAAAATTCCCATGAAACACCAAGAATCCAAGTCTGGTGGGCAGAGGACAGAGAGGGCATCCCAGAGAGGTGGACACAATGCAAATCTTTGCCATCAACAGAGGGAAGAAAGGTCTGGAGTTAGGGTACTGCCCAGCCCCTGCCCCAGCCACCAGAGATCTCCCCAGCGCTGCAGACAGGAGGGCTGGCTCTACAGTTGCATGGACCCAGAGTGCCCTGGAGGGAGCTGAGAGCCCTGGCCACCCAGCTCACCAGTGCTGGGATGGGCTCCTGAAGTCAGAAATCCTGTGTGCTCAGAACTCAACCAAGCAGAGCAGCAACCTGGGCCAGGAGGGGCCGAGTCTTGGGTTGGGTACAGGAGCTGAGGTGTGAAGTCACACATGCCAGCTGCAGAGGCTGCCAGGGCAGAAGCAGAGAGAGGAAGAAGAGGAAGGAAGAGGCAGACACTCTGAGAGTCTCTTATGCCCTAGAAGAGTCTGGAGTCTGGGTCAACCTGGTAATGACTGAATACAGCCCAAGCTAAGAAGTTACCCTCCCACCCACCCACACACATGTGGCCACCGGCAACAGAAGCAGCTTCTAAGGAAGTTGATCTGATACAGAGAATGGAGCTCCTTATCTGTGTGATGGGACAGTGGCTGCCAATTTTAACTCAAAAGCTAAAATCTGAAAAGGAGATGGCCCCTTGCTTTTTTGTCTCATCTCTGTCATGAAGGAAGGCAGTACAGAAGCCCTGGCTGCTGGAATGTCAGGGTGAGGGTGGAGATCAGAGAGACAGAGGATGATCAGGTACCTTCAGACCCAACATTCCTTTGCATCTGAATGGTGGTGCCCAGCAGGCCATCTTCACATGGCACACTGGTGTTGTATGTGCACACGTCCCTGTGCCCTAATGTCCTGGTGTCATCTTTCAGGAAAATATTTCTCCTCTGGGAGCCTCATCATGAACTTCAACTAGAGCTATTTCAGAAACAGCAGGGAAGAAACTGCAGAACTAAGTTTATTCCTTTGCTCAAAAGTATTTCCTGAACACCCCGGGAAAAGAAAATGTGGGAAGGTGACATACACAGCTGCAAACCACATTTCAATAACCATATGGTGAATGTGCGGTGTCTTCTGCCTGTTCTCCTCAATGCTCTTTAGATATTGACATGGAACTCAGATTTCACAGACTCCATAGAAAGAAGGAAGTGGGGGCTGAGGGTGAGGAGGCATCTGATGATGTCGGCCACAATCCTCTTGCAAGCTGTGATTGGCCCTATAAATGTGCCAGACCAAGTAGCGGCCCCACTAGGCCCACCACTGCCTCTCTCCAGGGTCACAAGTATAACATCCCTGGTAATGAAAGCTTGACCATTTTATGGAGATACTATGCAGACAAGCTTTCGTTTTACTCCCTGTCCTCCAGACTCCTTAGGAATGCCTCCTGCCAATAAACGATCCTGATCATTGTTGCAATTAACATCATTCATGATTTCATCTCCAGAACAGGAGGGGTGAGTCCTGGTGGCCTAAGGCAGGTTTTCGATTCTGGAGTTCCACACTGTTTTCCAGGCTAATCTGATGGGCTGCCCAGTTGAAAGAGCAGCCGCTGATCCAACATAGTTTTTAGTGGTGACCATTTCAAGTGCTTCATTTTGATTATCCCATTATTTTTATAAATGCTTGGAAATTTTATTCCAAAAATATTTTAAAATTAATCCAAAATGGGCCATTTTTAAAACTGTAGTAGGGGAGAAAGAATCCATGTGGAAAGATGTTCAATTTCTGCACAAGATCAGTCACTTCTGGGTGGAAAACAAAGATTTGTGACCCCCACAAAGCAGGTTTCATCTTCTTCCTGGTTCTGTGGTACCCAACTTGGACTCAGAAGTAAAAATAACTTCATGATATGATGGTTTGCCTAAAGTACTGCATTTTGCTAACTTTTCACATGATTAATTTAGAGTAAAATTACTATGTGATCATGCATATTGACACATTATTTGTCAATTCAAAACTATACCTATTTTTAAAGGAATGTTTATTTTTTCTATGTCAGAATCCAAATAGACACATTTATGAAATTAATTACCAAGTCCATTTGATATTTTTGAATCATCCTAGTACCCAAAGGCTATAGAGAGACACTGGAACTTAATGATTCTGGGTACAATATCCCTGCACACGCATTTAAAAATAGAAGCCACTACATTTTCTCTTTTGCCAAATTGCAAATAAGTGAGTAGAGTGAAGGATGACTGTGATGAGTCAGTGCCGACTCAGCGCCTAGAATATCCTCAACCCCAACAAGTGTCAGAATCATCCTGCGGCCGTCAGCTGAGTCATGCACAGTCCAGGGGAGCACCCTCCAGGAATCCAGCACCACTACCCCTCCTCTGGTAGGCACAGGGTTCTCAGGCCTCACTCAGGTAGGCAGGTACCAGGATCAGGCTCATCCATGCTTCTCGAGTATCTTTGAGAAAAGCCAGCGGTGCCCAGCTCCTAAAGATGCCTGGATGTTCATTAAAACAAGCAAAACCTCAGTTTTCTGTCGATTTCCTACCATATCTCCCTGCCCAGGCCTGAAGGAGGCAGTCTTTGGGTGACCCAGCACTGGGAAGAATTGCTTTACACATTCACACTCTCACGCAGACAAAGGGCATCTCCCTCTGGGCAGAATCTCAGGGAAACTGAAGGCTCCACAGCCAGGAGCTCAACTCAATGTAAAATTCCAGGGAATAAAATTTCATGAATTATTCTGATATCAAAAACTCCTAACTCAGAAGGTCATATGCTCGTGCTGGTCTGTATTATTCAGGAAAAAAGATAAAGGCTTATTATTAATTATGTCATTAATCACATTATTAATTATATCATTAATCACATCAATCAGATTCATCGGTTAGTGAGACTCCTGTGGTCACAGTAGTCACAGAACCCTGGCATTGCCTTTGGGAATGTAACTATGAGTCACCTGTGACTGCATCTGTGGCTTTGGAACTGCGGGCCATGGGTGTTGGGGACAAGTGTGGGAAGTAGCAGGTAAGATGGGCTGGACATTGGTTGGCCCTGCCTTTCTGGACACTGAATTGCTGCCCCTCCCCGTACACATGCTCTATCAGTCCTACCAGTGGGGCTGATCTCATTGCAGGCATGATACATGTGGCTGGTCTATGTTCAGGGGCTGGTCTGGGGCTGGGAACATGGCACAGGCCAGTTGATCAGCACAACCCCTGCTCTCAATGGCCACAATGATGGTCCAGAGATGAGCATCTCCACTGACAGCCCAGTTAGTGGCCACAGCTGGGATGGTTGCTTCATCCTTCCCTCAGTCCACCTCTCTTTAAAACATTAAGGACGACTGCTTCCATGTGCAGACAAACATGGAGCCAAGGTCACCTGCACGTTTTGTGATTGTGCATAGTGACCATTGATGGTCTGAACATGAGGAAAGGGTAAATGGAATTTACCTGTGGGAAATAAAATGGGCTTCTGTAGGCAATGAGTCCCATCATTCTGGGATGGTCCCTGACCTGGTGGACAGGCCCCTCTTACACTCCGGTCACCTCTGGGTTCACAGACACCCCATGACACCACGCTCCAGCGCACGTGAGCTGCCAGGCACTGGTTTAGACAATCGGGCACATCCTATACAGCCCTCCTGTAATGGTAGCCAAAGAATGTGTGTCAAGATAAAGTCTCATTGCAAAGTGAGCATCAGAGACACATTTTTTGAGGGAAAGCATTTTTCGTATTCTGAAGTAGAATGAAAGATTACACAATATCTCACAGACACTGGGCACGTGAGTGAGCCATCCACTACACATGTACTTGGCATGCTGGTCTCCAACCATCCCGGGACTTCAAGTTCAATGGATTTTAAGAGTAGATGTACTTGACAAAACAAAGACTTAGCTAAAAATGATTTGCACATCTCCAGAACTTTAGTGTGTGTGATACGCATTAAAACGTGTCAAAGTTAAGCCTGTAAGTCGCAGGCCGGCTCCTGGATTCAGGGACAGGTTTCGGAATGAAATGATAAAAGTGGGATTACATCGCAGAGCTGCAGTGAGACCATGAGAGTCCCGAGAGTGGCTGGCTTCTCCCTCTCTGCCTTGTCCTCAGCCGAGTGGCAGGAAACAGCTGGCCGGAATTTCTGAGTGCCCTTAATGAAGAGGGCTCTGCGTTGCTCAGATCTGCTGATTAAATAGAATAAGACTAATATTCCTTGGTGGTTCCCAGAAGGAAGCTTGCCTGGGATATCAGTTGAGTTTCCACACCCGCTCTGGGTTCCTCTTGGGGGGAGAAATCACACTTGGAAATTAAGCTTCGAATGGCTTGGTCTTTGTCAGTGAGTTTTTTTCTTTCCACGTATTTTGAGCAAGTTTCCTAGATTCAACTCAGAGGTCTGGGCTGTTTTACTTGTTGAGACCTCTGTCCTCAGCACGGGAACCCAGCGATTTGTAGAAAGGTCTCCACTATGGCATCCGTGGAACGATGGAGTGAACCCACAGGGCACATAACACAGAAACAGGCAGTCTGGAAACTTCCAGAAATGAGGACTTCCACAAGGGCACCACAAAAAGGTTTCCAAGCCCTGCTAAACACGGTTTGGGCACCAGGAGCCCTCTCTCCCTGGCAAGAGAAGACATGACAGTCATGGGTCATTGTTAGTAGTTTGTACCCTTAACTGTTTACTGAGATGAGAGACCAATCACCACAGCCCCAGTTTTCCCCCTGATTAGCTAGTTTCACTTACGTTTTGGGGGCTATTTACTCTTTTTATTGATAGGCATGCACTATCCCCACCTCCTGTCAATAAAGAATGCCCACCACATGCAGGAAATGGCAGAGGGCAGACTCAGCTGTAGGCTTGCTGACCCTGGAGCCAGGCGCACTGGCTTTGCCCCACTGAGTCCCACAGAAGGGAGGGTCCCAGGTAGGTTACAACAACAAATACCAATCATCAGCTACTGACAGATCCACCAGTCGCTTCTGAACCATCCACCACACCCTCAGAAAGAAACATACTGTAGAGCTACACACATACACACACACCCAACTGAGACACAGTTCACAAACCTATCCAATTATATTTTCTATTATATCCCACTAGAGGCCCTGCGCACGAAATTTGTGCACGGTAGGGGAGGGTGTCTCTCGGCCCAGCCTATACCCTCTCCAATCTGGGACTCTCAGGGGATGTCCAAACCGGCAGTTGGACATCCCTCTCACAATCCGGGACCTCTAGCTCCTAACCGCTCGCCTGCCTGCCAGCCTGATCGCCCCCTAACTGTTCCCCTGCCGGCCTGATCACCCCCAACTTCCCTCCCCTGCTGCAACCTGCCTCCTCCACTAGGACCAGCCTTCTCCACACCACGTGGAACTGTGGGATTCCAAGGCCTCACAGTGTGGAGCGGCCGCTGGGCCCACCTTCACTGTGCATGCAGCCATCTTGTGGTGGCCATCTTGTCTCGGCTATCTTGTGACGTCATGCGTGAGGGTGTGATGCCACCTAGGCTTTTATTAGTATAGATTTCATCTAAGAAAAACTGCTAATTGAGCTTATAACCCACTATGGGTCTCAATCCACAGTTTAAAAATAAAACTAAATTACTGAGTCCATCTCACATACCCAGGAACACTTCAGACCATGGTCAGAAGCTCGTGTCCATGTGACAGTTCCTACATGAGTGAGATATTTCTGTTCCTATAGCCACGCCCTGTCCTATGCCAGGAAGACACACTGACTGAGTAGCTATGTAATGAAACTTATGACTTGGCCTTTTATCCGAGGTAATTTAAACAACTTAATGGAAAAATAGATGTTATTGGTGAACTTCCTACGGGACTTGCTTTGTTCAAGGAGCTCTCATTACCTTAAAAGATCACACATCAACACAGAGAACCTTGGGATT